TTTCTCAAGTCAGTTACTCGGTGGACCGTATTTGTACTTCGAGGAAGAAAAGTAGCGTGTAAGCGACAAAATGAGGCCGAACAAGAAAGCGTGAGACACGGGACGAGATGAGACTCTCAAAGAAGAATGAAACAGGATGGGACGGCTTTTTTTTGCCGTCCGGCGAAGCTCTGATATGCTCCGAGTGCAAACAATGTCCACTGATAGTTGACGTTCTGTGCTAATTATCTGGAACCGAAGCAGAATGTTATAATATGAATACGTATGAAAATTTTCTAATTCCTCTGATTCAAATCGAAGTTCGCCAGTGCGCTCGTCTGCATCAGCTACATCGACTATTTTGGTTATTTATGATAAAGATGCCGCTAGCTAATGACATTAATAAAATAGATAAAATAAAAATGATTGAGATGAAAATATAATATTACAACGTTATAAGCTATGCTTAATTTTTCTGTGAAATTATTGTTTTAATTGACTCAGTTTAAAAAAATGATCTGAACAAGTGCATCAATGAATTCCTTTTAGAAATAATGGGATGAGTCATCAGCATCAGATAGTCTCCCGCGGACAAAAAAAATCGCCTTTTTGCATTTCATTTTTTCACCACATAATACACTGTATTAAAAAAAAACAAAATATATCACAAGATGCAGCGTGAAAAGAACTACAATCTACAAAAGATAGCTTGTTTTATAGTTGCACTTTTGTCTTCAAAATGGACAAAATTCGAAGGCATCAGTTTTTGACTTTTCGAAAAAAGAAGTTTTTGGTACAATTAGCCGCACAGAATTTTGTCCATTTTGAAAATGAAAACTGCAACTATGAAATAAGCTGTTCGTTGTAAATTGTAGAGCTTTTCACGCTGCATCTTGTGGTGTATTTTGTTTCTTTAATAAAGCATATCAGATGATGAAAAGATGAAAAAAACGAAATGGTCAGGTGCCAAAAGCTTCTTTTTTTTTCAAAAAGTCAAAAACTAGCGCCTTCGAATTTTGTCCATTTTGAAAACAAAAAGTGCAACTATAGAACAAGCTGTCTTTTGCAGATTTTAGTTCTTTTCACGCTACATCTTGTGGTATATTTTGTTTTTTTAGTACAGTGTATTATATGGTGCAAAATTGAAATGCAAAAAGGCAGGTTTTTTTGGCCGTGGGGGAGTAGAACAGTTTTCGGATGTTTGCATTTTAGTTTTTCTTTTATTTGTATTGACTGATGATGTTGTGATTTCACAACGAAAACTCTCAGTAAAAACTACTAAAACGGTATCAGTTATTCTCTTATTTAGAATAAAATGTTTTCAACATATAAAAAACCAATGAAAACCTACTTTAATGCTTAATCTTATGAGCGCGTGTACATTGTATCTTATACTACTTACTATTTTTATCATTAACGTATTTTTTGCTTTGAATGTTATTTGCTTGTGATATACCTTAATATTTTTATGTATATAGATGCGAATGTTGTTTTCTATTTTGAATTACATTTAAGAACAAATTGGTTGAAATACTCAATCTAATGAAGAAAGGTGCACACATAAACGTATTAGGAGGATCAGGTATGACTTTTCTAGAAAAATCGCTAATTTATGTTCAATAATAAAGTAGTTTATTGATAAGTAAACATCTCTTTTGAAATAGAATTCTCGATGGAACATATAATCGTTGCAGGTGGTTTAGATACTCATTTAAATCCTTTGACAAAAGTTATATTAAAATATATTTTACCAATATATGATAAACTAATGATTTAATATCCATCATCTATATTAATGGTGGCTAATATAAAGCAAATTTTAATTATAGCAACATCAACTGATTATGACCAATTGAAAAGATTATTAGAATATAGTACCCAACTTGGGTGTGATTTTCAATATGCTGTACAGAACGAACCCAATGGAATAGCACAAACATTCGTTATAGGGGAAAAATTCATTGGTAATGATAACTTTGTCTTGATTTTTGGTGGCAATTTTCTTTTATGGTATTGATCTCAGCTGTCATCTGCAAACATTATCTAATGTTGATGGAGTCTATATATTCGCTTATGAAGTATCCAATCCTAATTGTCACGGTATCGTAGAACTTGATCATAATGATAAACCTATTTCTGCTGAAGAAAAACTGAGTAAGCCGAAATCTAATTACGCCACAACTGGTTGATATTTTTTTGATTTGGTTTGATATGGGAGCATTGTAATCATTAAATGATACTTCACAATTTGTCTGTTCAATGGAAATAGAAAACGGTATAAATATTGATTGCATTGAGGAAATAGCGTATAAAAAAAAATTATATCGATAATTATCAAATAAAAATTTTCAATGAACCTTTAATTAATAGTGGATATGAAATATATTTACAAAATGTTATCAATAGATCATAGATATTTGTTAGAATTTTAGATAATTGAATACTTCAAACAATAACTGTAATGCGTAAAACAGAGACTGATGCTTTTCATTAAAAATACATCAATGCAGAATTTTCTAATTAGTCACGACAGTTTGATTCCATCTAATTGCAAACTATTTAAGATACACGTATCAGTTATTTTTTCTCAAGATTTTATAGATATGAATCGATGCAGAGCACTTTATTAGTATACTGTCAGAAGGATTAAAAGACGTTTCTTTTTTGCTTTTAATATCAGATGCACTTCTCACTAGTGACATCTATATAAAATCTTGCATCAATGAATAAATCCAGAATATTTTTACATCATATACTCGAGAATTGAAAAAGATACATATTATATGCTCGTTATGACATGAACAGCTAGTACGATATACTTTGATCAGCTATATTTAGGAACGCCAGATGAGGTTAAACGAAAACTATTGATTTTTATATATCGAAAGGACAAAGTTAAATAAAATATTTTCAAAAACGAAAAAAGAGAACAGTTGTTTTATTGAAAATTCATTCTCATAGATATCAGCATATAATTGAATAATATTAACTAATAGAACTTAAAGAGATCTATAATCATTATTCAATCGGTACTATCTAATTTGAGATCAAAGACCCTTGATAAATGCGCAAGGTATATGAAATTCTAACAATTATTCATCCATAAGGTTTTCTAACATTCGAACGAAACTCTAGCTGAATTTGATATGTGATATTATGCTATCATGCATCACAGTGCTAAAATCTCCTACGATGTTCTGTCCTTTTAAATGCTAATCTCAAGGCTACTGTTCTTGTTACTATTCTACATAAATATTGTTTTTCAAAATTAATATTTGACCTTGTACTATCTTTTAAGATGCATATTAGATCTTCTCTAGTGTCGAGCATGTCTAAGACAGATTTTTTTGTTTCCTGTTTGCTTGCTCTCTCAAGAAACTATAACAACTATTCGAACTCTATGCGTTGCTGATCATTTTATCAAGACTATAGATGTAGAATTCGACAAATAATATCGAAAAACTTGATTTACTCTGACAGTATTTTCCTTTTCATTCTTATAAAAATAAGTGAAAGATCATAATTTGAGATCGTCAAAAAAAAAGTAAAAGAGTTGTTTAGATAAAATAATTTAAAAAGAGAAAGGCTTCTAAAAATCACTGTAATCTATTTAGAAGAATCACTTGATTATAATGTGAACGTTGTTGAATTAATTCTAACCACTTTCGAGGATATATCCTTTATTAACAACATAAATTTGATAGCATGAACGAATTATACAAAATCGATGAGTTATTATGATTGTTGTTTGTAGAAGATTTTCTGTTTCAAGAATTTGTTGTACAATCTACTACTAAAAGAACTAATAGAAATAAATTGAAAATATATAAATAATGTGAGATAGTTGTTTGTTGTACGAGTCGAAATCACTTGTTGCTTCATCAAATATTAACAAGTTTAGTTTTCAAATGATTGCACAAGTAATAGCAATATGTTATTTTTCACCTTCTGATAATTGATTTTCTTTTATACCAATATTTGTTTCATGAGTCTTGTATGATTAAAGAGAAATATAGCAATAACTGGTAAATTCACTTGTGATAAGTTCAATGAAAAACTGTGAGGAATCAGCTGTTTTCTATGAATCAACAATCATCAATGATTCTGGGCGAAGGTATGGTTGAAAGACTTATAGGATACACTTGAACTTCAGTTTTATTCATAATTTTCATTTGGTGCATTTTATTTGGCGTAGCTAAATATGAATGATTTTCTTGTTAGATGATAAATGAACTTACAATTTCTTGATAGACAGGATCGCAAAAAAATAGCTTTAGTGCAAAAGTGTTAATACTATATTTCATAATCAATTAAATAATTATTACTACTATAAATACAATTTATAATTAATATACTTTATCAAATAATTATCATTTGTTTTTACTGTTTTAATTAAAATATTTTGTCTGTCGAACAGGATTTGACTCACATTTAAGACTCACAAAAAAAAAGATGATGAGTTTTTTTCAATATTTTTTGATAATAAGAATCGAATGATTGCTTCAAAATAATACCAAAATTCATCAATGTCAGTTACTGTAGTCGAAGATACAGACTAATAAGCAATTCGGTCCTTTGAAACGTACATTTGTCCACA